CGGAGGAGGCGTCGCAACTAGTTCGCGTGCATCTCGGCCTCGAGCGATGCGCGGACGCCGGGGGCGCGGCGGACACGCGTCTCGAGGCGCCGCTCGGCGACAAGGCTGAGGCGTACAACTATGACCTGCGCTTCCAAGCGGCGGTCGGCGACGCGCTCAAGGTGAAGCGCGCGGCGGTGCTTGCGGCGGCGATGCAGCGCGGCGGCGGCGGCGGGCTTGCCACGGCGATGGATGCGGTGTTGCCGCTGCAGGCCAGCCGCGTCGATTTGTCGGGGTTCGACCTTGGCGACGATGGCGTGATGGTGGGCACGGTGGTCGCGTGGATGGAGTCGGAGCCGTCGGCGCTGACGTCGCTGACGCTCGACTGGGGCAAGGTGTGCGGCCGCGTGCGGGAGGCGCTGCTCGGCGTGGTGCTGGCGACGCACACGCTCGTCGCGCTGAGCGTGGGCGAGGAGGGGGCGATGCCGCTCAACCCGCTGCAGCTCCGCGGGCGCGAGGCGGTGCCGTCGCTCAACTTGTCGGGGAAGGACCTCGGACCCGGATCGGCTGCGGTCGTCGCGGCGGGGGTTTCGGTCAACGGGGTAGTGACCGACCTCAACATTGGCGGCAACGAGATCAGCGACGAGGGCGCCACTGCGATCGCCGAGGCGCTGCGCGGCAACGGGGTATTGACCTCCTTGGACGTGGGCGGCAACAGCCTCACCGAGGAGGCGGCCCTCGGCATCGTGCGCGTCGAGCGGCAGCGCAACAAACTCACCTCGCTGGGCTTGGGTCGCTGCGGCATCGGCCCGACTGGCGCCGCAGAGATCGCCGAGTACGTGTCGGTCAACGAGGTGCTGACCGACTTGAACCTCTACAACAACAAGATCGGCGACGAGGGCGCCAAGGAGCTAGCAGCCGCACTTCGCGTCAACGGGGTGCTGACCAACCTCTCGCTCTTTGGGAACGGTATTGGCGACGAGGGCGCAAAGGCGATCGGCGGCGCTCTTCGCGTCAACGGGGTGTTGACCAACTTAGACCTCACCGACTGCGGGATTGGCGTCGAGGGTGCCAAGGCGATCGGCAGTGCTCTCGCGATTAACGGGGTGCTGACCGACTTGAACCTCTGGGACAACAAGATCGGCCCCGAGGGTGCCAAGGCGCTAGCATCCGCTCTTCGCGTCAACGGGGTGCTGAAAGCCCTCGACATCGGGACCAACAGCATCGGCGTCGAGGGCGCCAAGGCGATCGCCGAGGCGCTTCAGGGCAACGGGGTGCTGACGTCCTTGAACGTGAGCAGCAACAAGATCGGGCCAACCGGCGCGACCGCGATCGCCGAGGCGCTGCGCGTCAACGGGGTGCTGACCACCCTCGTGCTCTGGGGAAACAACATCGGCGACAAGGGCGCCAAGGCGCTGGCCTCCGCTCTGCGCGTCAACGGGGTCCTGACCAACCTCGTGCTCGTGAACAACAACATCGGCGACGAGGGCGCCGCTGCGCTGGCCTCCGCTCTGCGCGTCAACGGGGAGCTGAAAAGGATCGACCTCCGCTTAAACGATTTGGGCGACGAAGGGAAGGGAGCGATTCGAGATGCGGTGAGCGGGCGGGTAGGGTTCGAGCTCGAGATGTGAGTGGGCTCGAGAAGGAAGGTGCATGAAATCGGACGGTCTCTTGTAGCTTTTGCTGGTATATCCCGTGTCTTTTTTTTTTTTCAGCAGGGTGCTGACCACCCTCAACCTCGTCGGCAACTACATCGGCAACGAGGGCGCCGTTGCGCTGGCCTCCGCTCTTCGCGTCAACGGGGTGCTGAACAACATCGGCCTCCGCTACAACGATTTGGGCGACGAGGGGAAGGGAGTGATTCGAGATGCGGTGAGCGGGCGGGAAGGGTTCAAGCTCCAGATGTGAGTGGGCTCTGACAGCGGAGTCGGCCAGGGGGACGTACGTGCATTGGATTATAGTCTTGAAGAGCCGCTTCGGCGTCGGGGAGATTGATTTCCGCAGGAAAATTCTTTTTGCGTTTTTCAGCAGGGTGCTGACCGGGTGCTGACCACCTCCGCCGCGCTGCCTCCGCCGCGCCAGCCGTTGCCGCCGCATCGGCTTATCCTCGCCCCGATGTCGGCAGCGAGCTGGCTTTCCGGCTCCTCGCTCGGCGGCACAGCGCGCAGCTATGCTACACGCCGATGATCCGGTCCGAGGAGTTTGCCGTCCCCTGCTGGAGCGCCAGCCGACGACTGCCCGCTGGTCGCCCACTCTTCGGGCAACGACCCGCAGACGCTGCTCGACGCTGCGAGGCAGGCCGAGCGCTGCCGCGGCGTGGTGGCGGTCGACCTCAACCTCGGCTGCCCTCAGCGCGCCGCGCGGAGTGGCAGGTTTGACCGCCGCGCCAGCCTTGAGAAGCAGCTGGACGCACTCGAGGTGGCCCTCCTGGCACGCCATGAACAGCGGCGTAGCGCCGTCCTCATCGGCCTGATTGACCACCGCGCCCGCCTCGAGCAGCAGCCGGGCGCAGCTGAGCTCACCCTCCTGGCTTGCAATGAGCAGCGGCGTGGCGCCGTTCTGCCCCAGCCCCGAGAGCGAGACGCGCGACAGCGGACAGGAGATCCACGCGGTATGGGTGGACGCGAGACAGAT